ACACACACACACACACACACACACACACACACACACACACACACGCCAGACCCGGCGACCGGGCTCGATGCTCTGCAAGGATGCTACCTAGTAGCATCTCACATCTGTGGGGCCCCAGTGCTGCCCTCCCGGAGGGATGGGCATGAGGACCATCGCCCGCCCACGAGCTCTTCTTTTTCAGTCTGAGGATGGGACAGGGTGGGGATAAGCGCCACGGCTCCCCAAAGCGGCCTGTGGGACAATCTCGCGTCTCGGGCCCTCCTTCATCACCTGGATCCGACCCCCCCACCCGACCCGGGGCACTGGGTACGGTCCAGACTAAGACTGACCCCCCCGCCCTCGCGACGGCACCTGTGCGGGTCCTGGCGGAGGGAAGATGATCCCGAGGCTCAGCCAGACACCCCCATCCACGGGCCGCGGCGAGCGAGCCAGCCAGCGAGCGCTCTCCCCGCAGCTCCGGCGGCGCCCGGCTCGGCTCCTAGCTCACCCTGCCGGGTCCCTGCGCTCGCGCCCGGGCTCCCGGGGACGCGCCTGCGCTCGGGCACCCGCCCAGGGGGCGCTCCCAGGACCTGGACGTCATCCTCTGGTGAACATTCATAGCTTTCCTTAAAGCACGTGGGCCTGCCTTCATTAATATTTATGAATTGTCCTTTCTCCCTTCTTTGATGCTGGCCCTTCTGTTTCCCACATGAATATTCAGAAGCTCCGAGATGGGGGCGTGCAATCACTACCAATATGGAGACTTCAGACAGCCTGACACTGTAGGTTTGGGATAAAAACGCAAGCGAATGGAGTAGATGGCCGATGCTGACAGATTCAAAGAGCCGCTGACACGTTCTGGACTCCCCTTTCTATTTTACTAGGGGTTGATGTGGACAAGTCAAGGAATGGTTGCACCCTAAAGTAGATCAGATCAAGGTCAAAGTGAACGGCTGATTGACAGGAATGCTTCAGTCACCCAAAACTGCAGAACGAGGGCTGGATGCAGCTGAGAAATTTGAGTAAGAGGATTTCTGGTGCAGAAAGATTTCAGATAAAAAAGGAAAATGTAAAGGATGTAAATAAAGAAGGCCCCGAGGATCTTGTGAAAATACACACCCCGTTCATCCATGTGCTGAGCATAAACCTGTGCTTAGAGATGCTGTCCATATGAAATCTAACAGCTGATGAAGGCAGACAAGGAAAATAGGGTACAAGAAAGGAAGACATAAGAAAAGCATGCCCATGTGAACCAACTCTACCTACTTTTGTCTGGTGGCAAAGTACTTCTAGGCCAAACCAAGGACAGCAGCTGAGAGATGAAGGGGACCTTTCCTCCAACTGTTTATGCCCTCCTTCCACAAACAGTTCAGTCATGAGGAGGTGAAGTGGGAGAACATTGTCTCCAGTGAAATAAGAAGATGACTTGGCTATTTTGCCTTTCTGGTATTAGTTACAAGAGGTTTTGTTTTTGTTTTTTTTGTTTGAAAAGAAAAACAAATGTAATTAAAAGATCCTAAGTTGAGAGCCATTGAGATGGCTCAGTGGGTAAAAGGTGCTTGCTGCTCAAGCCTGGAGAGCTCATGACCTGAGTTCAATGCTTGGAACTCACATAAAGGTGGAGGGAGAGAACTGAGTCCACAAATTTGACCGCCACAAGTGCACTGTGGCAATCACACACATACACACACACACACACACACACACACACACACACACACACATATAGACACAGTAATAATAAATCAAAATGTTAAAATTTTCTGTCTACTTTTCTGAACCATACCTGGTTCTGTAACTTTGGGAAAGTTATCCTCCATGTCACTCATTCCCTCTTTTGCATAATGAGGATAATCATAGTTCCCACTCCTGAGGCCTATTGTGAAATTAGAGGAGTTAATTCATGCAAAGTACTTCCAGGCACATGGAAAGGAACTGTGTGTCTTGGTTAGTTTTCTTCCTTAGCAGAATCTTATGGTGTATACGTCTGTGCTACTTTTGTTTGCTTGTTTGGTGGTGGTGGTGATGGTGGTGGTGATGGTGGTGGTATTGAGATAGGATGTCATGTACATCAGGCTTGCCTCAAACTCACTATGTAGCCAAGGGGTAACCTTGAACTCATTCTCCTGCCTTCACCTTCTGAGTGCTGGGATTATATACCTGGTATCTGGTTTTTTATGCTGTGCTGGGAATTGAACCCAGGGCTTCCTACATGCTAAGCAAGCACTCTACCAACTGAGTTATACTCCTAGAGACTACTTCTTGGGACTGGAGAGATAGTTCAGTGGTTAAGAGCACTTGCCTCTCTTACAGAAAAGCTAGGTTTGGTTCCTAGGACCCACACCAGACAGCTGACAACTGCCTGTAACTCCAGTTCCGGGGGATCTGAAGCCTTCTTCTGGCCTCCTCAGGTAGATGTGATACAGATACATACATGCAGGCAAAACACTCACACTCATATTATAAAATCTTTAGAGCACAAAAAGTACTGAAATTGAGAAACAGTTTAGTGTTTGAGAATACTCAGGGTCTTTGGGATTTTTTGTTTTGTTTTGTTTTGTTTGCTTTGTTTTGGGACAGGGTCTTCCTGTAGCCCTAGCTGACCTGGAACTCACTATGTAGACCAGGCTGGCCTTGAACGCACAGAGATCTGCCTGCCTCTGCCACCCAAGTGCTGGTATTAAAGCCATGTGCACCATACCCAAATGAGAATACTCAGTTTAAACCCTAGTGCTCAGTCTGAGCATGGTGGCATGGGTCTGCAATCCTGGCACTCAGGATGCTATGGCAGGAAGAGTATGAATTCAGGATTAACTTTGGCTATATAGTGACTAAATGATATAATGAAATACACAATGCCTGGAATATAGTAAGTATTAAATAAGTTGATTCTGTTATTATTTTTGTGAGGATCTGAACGAACTACACATAAAGGACTAGTGGTAAGAATGCTCTGCATGTGACCCAAATTAGTCTTCCAGCATTTATTTAATCATGGTAAACATATATGAGATAAAATTTACCATTTTAATAATGTAACTGTACAATTCAGTGGTATGAAGAACTTTCATACTACTGAGGCAACCATGCCATTCTCCATCTGTAGGTTTTTAATCACCCCAAATGGAAACTCTCTTATTAAAATTCTTTTTAACTTTCAACTTTTAGATTTTTTAATGTATTTATGCATGTACATATGTATGTACTATATGTATGTATTCCTGTGTATGTGTGCATGTGGAAGCCACAGGATGACATGGAGTATCTTCCTCAATTGTGCTCTATTATTTTTACTTATTATTTATATATTTATAAATATTTATATTTATAATTATTTGAGACAGAGTCTCTCATACTGAACCTGGGGTTCACTGATTCGGCTGACTGGCTGGCCAGCGAACCCACCTGTCTTCACCCCCAACCCAACTGGAATTGAAGTTGTGCTCCACTATGTGGGTGCTGGGGATCCAAACTCAGGTCCTCATGCCTGTACCACAGGCACTATGTGGACAGAGTTATGTCCCCAGCACCTCCCACACTCCTGATTTTTTGTTTGTTTGTTGCTGTTCTGGGGATCCAACTCAGGGTCTGGCATATGCTAGGCAAGTACTCTAACACTGCATCATACTCTAGTCCCACAAATAGAAACTCTGTACCTTTAAACAATAACTCCTTATTAAGTCCCTCTCTCCCAGTAACCATTATTCTATCCCTACCCCACCCCAACCCAACCCATGACAGGCAACTCAATTCAATATATAGTCAAGTCGATAGAGTATTAGCCTAGCCTGCATGAAGCCCTAGGTTCAACTTCCAGTATCACACAAACCAGATGTGGTGATGTGTGCTGTAATCCCAGCACCTGAAAGGTAGAGGCAGGAAAAACTGAAGCTCAAGGTCAGCCTTGGTTACTGTCCTAGTTAGGTCTATCAATTCAACACAGCCTAGAACTATCTGAGAGAGGAATGGCCTAGATCAGATTGGCCTATAGGCATGTTTGTGGGGACTGTTTCCACTATTAATTGACATAGGAGGGCCCAGCCTAATGTAGGCAGTACTATTTCCTGGGCAAGTGAACCCAAGCTACGTAAGAAAGCTCATCATGGGCCAGCAAGCAGTGTTCCTCCATGGTTTCTGCTTAAAGTTCTTGTTTTAATTTCTGCTCTGACTTCTCTCAATGATGAACTGTAGTCTGTAAACTGAAATAAATCCTTTCTTCCCCTAAGTTGCTTTTGACATTTGTCACATCAACAGACTGAAACTAAAACAGCTACATAGTGAGTTCTAGACCTGCATGAGACATAGGACACATCACATGCGCATGTGTACACATAGAGACACACACACACACACACACACACACACACACACACACACACACCAACCACAATTAGAAAAAGAGGAGCGGAGAGAGAAAAGCGAAGAAAGAAGGGAGAGAGTAAAAGGAAAGAAAGGAAGAAAGGAAGAAATCGTGTACCAATCACAGCCTGAAACATAAAAATGAACCCATCTTTTCTTTTCCTTTTCTTCTGTGGCATGGGGATCAAACCCAGAGCTTTGTCCGTGCCAGGCAAATGTGTTACTTCCGAGCTATGTTTCTACTCATCTTTTACTTGTGCTCACTCTTTAGCTCAGGCTGGCTTTGAAATTGCTGTTCCCCTGCTTCAGCCTCTTACATAGTTGGAATCACAAATCTGTGCCACAAGACCTAGCTTATCTTTAATACACCACCCCACCCCTGTCCCCCATTGAGACAGTCTATAGCCAATGTTGGCCTCAAACTCACTATGTAGCATAGGTTGACTTTGAACTCAATGAATTCCTCCTGCCTCAGCCTTCCAAGTCCTGGGATGTGGTGTAGCTATTTCCTCTGAACTAAATAAAGTTCTCCCTCTTGAGGAAAGAGAGCACTCATAAGACTCAGGAAGCAAATGAAATAAACAAGTCTCAGATGCTCCTGAAAGTTACAAGATCTGAGAGTCACCTGCCCAGCTTATACAGCAATAACAATTACAGGAGTGAAGAGACTCTCTGACCCCCTAAGCTGCCTATGAACTCTGCAGAGAGCTCCAGGGACACAGGTTTCAGTCACCCATGTTGGAGTGGGCAAGCTTTTCAGTGATGCAGCTGCCTTTGAGTCATCTGCATTCCTGTAAGTAACCCCTCATCCATGCTTATGCAAGTAACCCCAATAAACTCAGTGGCTCACTAAACTAAGTGTGGAATTGTTACTTTGTCTATTGGTGCTTTATCTGGGGTGAATAGACATTTGCTCACATCTTCCCAGAAAAAGTCACACAACATGGGATTACAGGCATGAATCACCTCACCTGCACATCCTTAATCTCTTGTGTTGATTAAACTCCCTACTTTGATATCACAAGGGAAACAGAATAGTCCCCCAGATTCGAAAATTTATTTTTTAGCCACCTTATCAGCAGGTAATTAATTACTCCCTACCACAAAGCACATGCACCCAAAACAAGATCGTATCACCGTATTTCAAAAAGAACAATTACATTAAAATTCACAACAAA